TTTGCACTAGTGCAATCTGATTTGGCAGCATTTTACATGCTTTTTGCACCAGTGTAAATTATTGCACAACGGTGCAGGAATGGTGAATGGGACCCCTGGAATGTGACTAGGACAAATAACACTACAGTTGAAACACCATGGCATCTTTAATGAGGGCCTGGGCTCAAGATCTACATTTTATGGCCTCTTCCTCCAAAAGACCTCTGGGGGCCCCCTTAACACCATTTCTGTAGTGGCACTGGCTCCACATGGTCTGAGAGAGAAGAGTGCCACCTACCAACGCACTGACTCCACTTCCTTCAGCACCCTGGATTTTCCTAGGACGTTTCCCATCCAAGAACTGACTAGTCCAGCTACACTTAGCTTGAGAGAGCTGCTGTGATCACAGCCAAAATCGTGTCCTCCTGTCCCTGTTTCCCCCTTAGGAATGTGTTGCCACTAGCTCTCAGGGGACATCAGGTCGGCTTTGTTTAGCTTTTCATAACCTCTGATACACTGTAAGCTCATGGGCCGCACTGGACCAAAAGGAGATTTGTGTTGCTCATCACCCACTCCTCAGTTACGGGGCTTCACAATGAAACAAAAAACTGCACCTTTCCACAGTCAGCAACCAGCCAGCCAGATCAGAAATGACTCCGAAATGCCCTCACTTGCAGCTGGAGAGTGCACTTTGGGATTTGATTGTTATTGGCTGAGGCAGGAACATTTTACCACCTTGTTCCTGGTTGCCTATACCACCACTTCAGGGCCTCTTTCTTTAACATGGTGGGAGGCTTCCCTGATCCGAGAGCTCCTTCCCACCAGGTCTCTTTCCCGTGACTGGCATACCCATGCATCTCAGTCTGCCCAGGTTCAAAAGGGGGACAAAGACCCAAAACACAAGAAGTGAAAAAGAGCAAGAATCTTAAAATGATGTGCAATGAATGTCTTGCATGTTACATCGCTCTATGAATTCAGCTTCACAAGCATGCATTTTTAAATTACTTGCCTCTAAATATCAAAACACAAGAGCCCCAGAGATTAGTGTGTGTGAAAACAGGTCTGGAGTGAGGCCTCCCTTTTGTAATAAAGGACAGCAAAGGGGGGTTCTGTACATAACCCCACCGATAGCATGGTCACTTTCCTGGGCTCCCTAGAACGGCCTTACCCAAGTTAGAAGGAAGGGAAAGAGTGCTAAAAATGCCACTAACCACAGGTAAAGAGTAAAACCTTACCTGCTGGATGGGACATGGGCTGAGTCTGACTGGAAGCAGTGGACAGAAAAACCCTTCTCTGTACAGCAAAATTCATCTTTGTTTTCCTTCCCAGTGACTCTCTGGCTCACTGTAAAGTCCCACAAATCAAAACAAAAGCAAAACTCTAACTTCTATTTTTATGTGAAGGGAAATACATTTCAAATCAAAGAGGACTTTCCTTCTTTGTGTCTCGAGAGGTAAAACTCAGCCCGTCCCCAACTGACCCCACATAAGTCATTTCCCAGCATAGCAAACAAATAGAGTATAAGTCATAAAAATGATGTATAATATTTTTTGTTAAAAACCCACGTCAAGTTTCAGTAAACATCTCTCCAAGTCAGCACTGACTTTCACACACTTCCTCTCCAAGATCACTGCTTCAGTTTGTTGCTGGGGGAGTTAGAGTGGTCTAATGGTTAGCGCAAAGGACTGGGAAGCAGGACTTTTCGGTTCCATCCTTAGCTTCTGCCTGTGGTTTTGGAAAAGTCACTGAACTTCTTTGTCTCTTAGTCATCTCCATTGTAAATAGCAATATTGACCTCTACCTCACAGGGGGGTTTTGAGACCTGATGTTTGCAAAGTGCTTTGAGATCCTCGGATAAAAGAACAAAGGATTATTATTCCCTTTTAATTAAAGGCAGAATTGTTCTTGGACAGGCATTGGGAGAGTACAACAGAGGGAGCATGCATAGATGTTCTTTCTAAACTAAAGGCAGACTAGACCATTGCTCAACATAACGGACACCGTCAACTCACATCTGACCCAAAATTAAAATGTTGTAAAAACAAGCTTTTTGTGAAAACCTAAGATCAGTAGAAAGGTTTCATCAGCTAAAAAAAGAAGGAAAAAACAACAAAAAGAGTTGTTTCTAATCAAATGAGCATTCCCCTGCAGTATTTGAAAGGGAAATACTTAACAAGAACCTAAAGATGAAACTGACTCTAAACAGAAGTGAAATTGACCTCACTGATTTTCATTGCCCAAGATGAGAGTAAAGTAAAATGTAAAAAAGAGCAAAAAGAGCAAAGGACAATTTGGCTGTATAAAATTCTTTCCCTTCTCAGGACATAAGGAAATGAGCTTCTTTACAGGCATTAGTTGTCAAGCTGACCCATCCCTTTACCACATCTCTAGTCATTTCAGTGGCTATCCGGCACCACAATCCATTGTTGAAATAAAAACACACATATACTTGGTTGCAAGCTCAGATTGGGAAGGACACAACATGCAGTGCCGAATGATTTGGCGCAATGCACTTAGCCCTCCACAATAAACCAGTGGGACTGAACTACTGAAACGGGGCCTTGGCTCGTCATGTTAAAAAGTGATTTGGATTCCTGGATATTGGGGGGAATATTTTGAATTGCTGTTTTTCCTCGGGCCACAACTGCTGCATCAGAACCAAATGCGCCATTAAGACACACTGGACAGACTGCTGAGCAGGAAGACTGGATACTCCAGAAGACAGATCTGTAATGAAATTCTGCAAGCCAGGGGCACTGAATGGAAAACACGGGACAGATTCTTACACTGGTTAATTACTATTTTGATCAGAAGCATGTTAAGGCAAATTCAGATAGCTGGATTCCTCCTAAGCAGCCCTTGTTTTAAAACCTACATCAAATTGTTTTGTAGCACATATACATGTATCTCAATTAGCCCTCAGTTTCTTCCTTATGACTCAGAAAGTCTCCTGAGAAGAATTATGCATCTCCTCACCACTAAGTCTAAATCAATCAGTCAGCCACTCTGAAAGTCTGATGTGGAGCTGACGGTTTCTTATGCCTCTGAGGAGGGGCTGACTCGCCGCTCTTGCAGCCATTCGTGCAGGGAGGAAAATGACTTCTTCCAGTCGTGCAGAAAGGGAAAATTTGTGAAGCAAAAATGGGAGAGATTTGCTGCAGGTGGGCACAAAATGAGGCCGCTTCCCTGTGGAACTGGTGGCCGCGTCAGATTATGGAGTGTTCAAACACCAGCCTCGGGGCTTCGGGAAAGCATCCACACAGGACACTCCACTTTGCAAAGGAGAGAACACGGACCCTGCGCTCTCAGCCCAGGACTGGCTTCTGGTCCATGGCAGAAGAAAAGGGCAACACCAAACCCTGCAGTCCTTCCTCAGGCAAAATTCCTCCAGACATCAGTTGGAGAGTTGCCTGAGTGAGGACTGCAGCATCAGGCCCCAAACAAGCCACCATTCTTCGATGGTCGCAGACTGACATTTTCCACAGTGACTACTGATGTTAGGTACCTCCATGGAGGATGGGCGGGGGGGGTTAATGGACTCCTTCCAGGGGGTTGATTCCCAGGAAGTGCCCAGCACCCCCCCCCCTTCTGGAAGCCAGGCCCTTGAACAGGTTCTAGAACGCGGCACCCCACATTTGGGCACCAGGCTACCAGGCCTGAAGGAACATTCTCAGCCACAGCAAAGTACAGAAGAGCTCCCTTGAAAGGGAAATGCTTCTCTCCTTCCCCTCTCTCCCCTGCACTGCATGTCTGGTGGCCCTGCTGTCTAACTGTCTGTCCCCACATGTGGCCCTCAGGGGAACCTTGGCTATTTAGACGGTGAGATCTTCAGGGCAGGGGTGGTGGCTTTGCTCTGTTTGTGCAGCACAAGGGGGGTGGACCCTGCCTGGGGCTTGGGGCACTGCCCTAAAACAAATATTGACTGCTGCTGGGAATCAGAGAGGTTCCGCCCGGGCACGGCCATGCTAAATGCTGTCTCGGGTACTGCCCTGAGCCAAGTGTTTGGTGGGGACAACTCCAGCTCTGGTGGCAGCCGGTAGAACAGTCTACAGGGGAGCAGGTCAGTTGCTCCACTGTCTTTTCTGACCCTTTATTGACTTCCCAGCTTCGTCCTGTGGACAATGATCTCTAACACCGCAGCTTTGCTGCACATGCCGCCTGCCACTGAAAACCTACCACGAACCAACCTACCGCTGCGCAGATCACTAGGCAGGACAGACCTGGCTCTTGGCAGCCTGGCAGGGGGGTTACCCCCCCCCCCAAAAAAAGTTCTTTCACTCGCCCTAGCTCCTCCCTAGCCCCACGGAAGAAACACTTGCTCTCCCCAGCTTTCCGGCGTGTGTCTCTCCCCCCACGCTGGCAATCCCCAGCTCCCGCGGAGTGTCCCGCTGCCTGGCAGAGAGCTCGGGCCACCGGGCGGGGAGAACCCGTCGGGGCTGGGGCCAGCTGGAGCGGGACTCAAACCAGCTGTGTGGCCGTGGAGCCCGAGCCCCGAGCGCCTCTGTCTGTCCGCTGCCGGCCCCCTCACCTGCTGCATCCCCTCCATCCCCCGCCCCCACAGGCACCCGCCAGCCGGGACCTGAGCCCCGCATCTTCCCACCCGCCACGCGGGGATGGGGACAGGCAGGAGCCTTCCTGCTCTCAACTAATTGTCTAATGAACCCAAGCCTCCGTCGGGGGAGGGGGGGAGATCCCGCCTGCCCACGCAGCCCCAGGAGGATCGCTCCCTGCCTTTGTCTGCAAGGGGGGGTAAGGCCCCCCCATTTGGCGCTCAGCAGGACCGGCATGAGGGACTGGACCCTGTCTGCCTGGAAGGGAAGTTTAAAGAGCCCGCGTCCTCCGCCCCTGCCCCCGCAGCCCCTCCTGCAGGAGCCCCGCACCTGGAGGGCAAGCCAACCCCCGCGAGCCGCCGGGGAGCGCTCCCACGGCCGGGGGAGGGCAGAGGGCTGCCCCGGCACGCCAGTCCCAGGGCACTTCCACGCGCGCGCGCACGTTCCCCCGTGGGGAGGAGAGGGACTTACTGGCCGGAGGTCGGGAAGGAGCCGTGAGGTAATTTCACACGCCCGGAGACAGCCGGGATCCAGAGGCGGCGGGTGCGCTGCTCGGCTTTCTAGCAAAACCCAACGGGAGTTAATCCAAGCGGGCTGCCGGGGGCAGGGGCCGAAGCGCGGGGGCCGACAGGGGGCTGCGCCCTTGTTCCCATGCCCCGGGCACCTGCCCGAGGCTTCCTGCGGGGGCTGGGCGCTCCCCTCTCCCGGGCGCGCTGAGCTCCCCTGGGGAGCGCGGTCCTCAGTCTCTGCGCTCCTTCTGCGCGCTGCCCCGGCGCAGTCCGGCCGCCGCTGGCCCTGGGGCTCTTCGCCAGCCAGGAGAGGGGAAAGGAAGCGCCGGGCGCTGCGCTGCGCGGGGCCCGGGTTCTTTGGTATGTGGCGCTGGCGGCACCGGCCGCCGTCCCCCCGGGGCGCTCTTCACCTCCTGCCCGCTGGCTGCCCGGGCAGACCCCCCGCTCTCGCCTGGCTTCTCATTTTCTCTCTGCCCCCTTCACGCCCGTCGGGGCTCATCCCTCCGGCTGGGGGCCATGGAGCGAGGAGACCTCGCGGCCAGGGAGCCCCAGGGCGCACGGGGGGCTGCTCTTTGCGGCGATCTGCTCCACCCCTGTTGTTTAGCCCGTTGGCTCGCCGGCTCCGTCTCTCTCCAGCCCCGGGGGACTCCGCTAGCGCCGCCGCCTCCTCCGCTCGCCTCTGCCCAGTGCCATCTGGGGCGGGCTTCGCCGTGTAATCTCCCTCGGACAACTTCCCCGAGCTGTCAGGCTGCCCAGCCGCCGCCTCCTGCTCCTCCTCCCGCTGCACCAGGCGCCCCGCAGCCGCCTCTCGGTGCCCGTCTCCCCGCCACCTCCCCTTCGGGCAGCGCCTCCCTTAGCGACCCCTGCCCCGAAAGCGCCGGTGGGGGAGCGGGTCGGCCAAGCCCGGCCGCAGCCCCCGGGCGAGCTCCGAGGGGTTCCGGGCGCAGGGGGTTTCTTCCTTCCCCGGGGCGCCTGGAGGTGCGAGGCGATCCCACCCCCTCCAAAGCGGGCGGTCCGGCGTGTGCACAGGGGAAGCCCCCGGCCGGGTCCTTTAGTGCATGGCCAGCCCCCAGCAGGCGGCCGGCTCCCGGGTCCTGCGAGGCAGAGCGGCTCGTCCTTCGCGGTGCATCTCGCCTCCGCTGCTCCCTCTTCGCAAACCCGCCTTTCTGCGGGCTCTTGGCTAACTCCCGGGGCCGGTGCGCTGCGCTGCACCCTCCCGCCCCAGCAGCGCTCGGTCGGTTCAGCGAGGGCTTCCTCCTGATGGTGTCCGATCGCCAGCAGCCCCGGCCGCTCCGCTCCGCTCCCTGCCTCGCCTCCCGTCTGATTGAGCGCCCGCGCCGCGGCTTCTCAGTTTGATGCAGCGCCCGGCAGCCTATGCCTGATGAGCCGGGCGGGCGGGCCGCACCTCACGGCCGCGCCCTGCAGGGGGCGCTCCGCTACTGCTGCAATCCCCGCCGGCTTCGCGGCAGATGTCACGGTGCACGCAGCCGGATGGCTGCGTTTCTTCTGGGTGGGTTTTTCCCGCTCCTCCTCTTTGGGGAAGGGCCGAGTGGGGGGTTGCAATGTGGAAAATGCAAATCGAATTGAATATCTTCTAGAAGAAGCAAAACGGATCCACCTTTCAGATGCACAGAGTGCAATGATTAACTGCCCCTGCCCAGGACTCTGAGTGTGTGTGTTAACATGCTCCACACCTCTCCGTTTTCTTTCTCTCCCTTTTATATTTTCCCTTTGTCTGTGGCGCGCTGTGGTTCCAGGCTCCCTTCTTCTGGGCTTGCTCTGCTTTGAGTTCTTCCAACTTTAGTCCCTACAGAGGCTGCTCACAAGTTCTTGCTGCTGCCATGATTACAAGAGGGCATGGCTTGAGACTTTTTACAAGAAGAAATCAGATGCTCAGTTGCAAAATCTATCAGCACAGAAAACTTTTTAAATGCCCCCCTTGCAGCTTGAATAACACACACACACACACACACACATATGAAGAAGTTTCCCTCCCCACATACCAATTCCACTACAAAGTTGTTGTTCCTTTAGTGCAAGGGCCAGTAGAAAAAGGAACAGCTGTTCATTCGTTTCTACTAGAAATAAGCCCGGCCTCCTGTGTAACTGTTGGGCTTGTCAGGTGGCTTGCCTGTGTGCATTGTTGTGGAGCATTTGACACACACATGGATTATTTGTATTTTGTTTTTTAATATAATAATTCCCCAAGACCTCCTTTCTGAAGCCTCTTTAGCACGATCCATGTCATGACACAGCAGCCCCTGCTGGAGAGGACCTGTCAAGGCAGCCATGAAGAAATGATGTTGACCAGCGTGACTTTTCCCCAAGAAAACAATGGGACTTTCATTCAGGCATCCTACTCTGACCCCATTCAGCCTTAGAACAGAAGTGCCACCTCTCCAATGTCACTCATTTAGACCCAATTTTACTCCCATATGACATTTTACTCCCTTCTGATAGTACTGCAGAAAGGGATCTGGGGGTCATAGCAGATCACAAGCTAAATATGAGTCAACAGTGTAACACTGTTGCAAAAAGGGAACATTATTCTGGGCTGTATTAGCAGGAGTGTTGTAAGCAAGACACGAGAAGTAATTCTTCCGCTCTACTCAGGCCTCAACTGAAGCATTGTGTCCAGTTCTGGGCACCACTTTTCAGGAAAGATGTGGACAATTTGAAGAAAGTCCAGAGAAGAGCCACAAGAATGATTAAAGGTCTAGAAAACCTGACCTATGGGGGAAGATTGAAAAAACTGGGCTTGTTTAGTCTGGAGAAGAGAAGACTGAGAGGGGACATGATAACAGTTTTCAAGTACATAAAAGGTTGTTACAAGGAGAAGGCAGACAAATTATTCTCCTTAACCTCTGAGGATAGGACAAGAAGCAATGGGCTTAAATTGTAGCAAGGGAGGTTTAGGTTGGACGTTAGGAAAAACTTCCTACCTGTCAGGGTGGTTAAGCACTGGAATGAATTGCCTAGGGAGGATGTGGAATCTCCATGGTTGGAGATTTTTAAGAGCCGGTTGGACAAACACCTGTCAGGAATGGTCTAGATAATACTTAGTCCTGCCTTGAGTGCCGGGGACTGGACCAGATGACCTCTCGAGAGCCTATGAGTCTATGATTTTAGACCCAATTTTACCTCCATCACCTAAACTTCCTCCACTCTACAACAGACTGGACTTTATTTCCCTGTTTTATTGTCAGTTGGTTACATCAGAAAAGCTGAATCATGCAGATTTATTGCTGGAGACACCAGCTCCACATCTGGACATGCTTCCACTGATATTTTTGGGTGTGTCCCTTGGCTCGAGATCGGGTTGCCTCTTTGGGGGTTAATCCTGTTCCCACCGCAGTCAGCCGGAGTTCTAGTCTTTGGCCGGCAGAGAGATGTGGGGCAAAATGTAATCAATGTGATTTCACCATGTGAGACGATTAGGTCAAATGGTTACCTCAGGGTATCCGGAACAAGAGTCCTCACTGCCAAATGATTCCTTATTACAGTGAGGTTGATAACTCTCTCCCCTTCCCCAGGAACTAACAAAAGGCCAAGCTACTGCCTTCTGCCACTGTTGTGTCCCTGCAGATACTCATCTTGCAATGGCCAAGTCTGAACAGCGCCTGGACACCATGATTCAGACAGCCCAAGGCCTGGACAGGTTCTCATCAGAGTTACTTGGTACGGGATGCAAACTGGTTCTGTTTATCTGTACCAAAGTTTAAATGCAAGCAAGGGCCCCAGAGAAGGTGACTGGTGGGTGCTGTGCTCAGCTCACCATGGTGGAAGTTCCTATGACATCGAGATGCATGTATGCAGGGTTGCTGTAGCTGGGTCGGTCTCAGGACATCAGTGAGACAAGGTGGATGGGGTAATGTCTTCTACTGGACCAACTTCTCTCTCCCCGCCAGAAGTTGGTCCAAAAAGAGAGATTCCCTCTCCCGTCTGATCTCTCCAGAGAGATGCTGGTCAGGTTCAAACTGCAGAGCTGGGCTCAGGCTGCAGAGTTTGGGGGCAGAAGCTCAGGCCTGGCTTTGATGGACTGTGACTTGTGTTTGGAGCAGCCATGGAGCAGCAGCAGACTCCCTCCCCAGCAGCTGCTGCAGCCAGTTGTGTGGCCCAAGTTCCTGCCCTCTGAGGTGAGGGGGAAGGGCTGCAGAATTCACGTAGCGCTGGATTCCCAGGTCCCCAACCCCTCTGGGCCTTGCCCTTACCCTGCATGAAGCATCCCCACTGACAACTCACAGGGAGCCCGGGAAGCTGGGTTCCGCTGTCCACGCCCTGTCCCCCACCACATGAGTGGTGCGGCCCCACCTGTCTCCCAGCCAGCAGACCCCCTGCAGCTGCAGAGGGGGGAGGAGAAGGGTTTGCCCCGAAGAAACAAATTTTTCAAAAAGCAAAGGCTGACATGAGCATAGGAAAAATGCACCCACGCACACCTGCCTTTGCACACACAAACAGGGCTTGGTGCCTGCAGAGCCTCCTTTGCATAGACAGACACCCAGCTGGCACATGCAAATACGCGGGGCGGGGGGGCTATGTGAACACGGATTCCCCATGCACAATTCAGACTCCGCCACCCTCCTGAACACGTGTCCCTCAACATTCTGGTCTAGTACTAGACAGCAACATTTTCCTTCCGAATGGCCGCGTTAGATGGAAACTACTTGGCCTCCATTGCAGAGTCAGCAAAGGCCTTGTGCTGAAAATTCTTTCTCGTGGAACTAGCCCCGTTGATTTTGCTGGGTCTACTCACGTGAGTAAGTGTGCACAGGATTGGGCCCCTTGTGTCTGAATGGTGAATTATCCCTTTTCACCCATTCCAAAAGAGAGACCTGGCATGAGTGAAGGTCGTCATCTCCTCCGCTGCGGAGACGTGACATTTTACTGGCGCGTCGGCATTGAAAAGGCAGAAACAAAGCTTTTGTCTGAAGAGCTAAGCAAAGCCCATGTCGTTCAGCCAAGGGAGCATTGGTAGGGAACTCTGTGCATGACCTGAATGTCTGGCTGTATAGGTGATGGCTTAAGTCTGATATGACATTTATCTTCACAAGTGAGGAGACAGATAACTTATTCATGACTGTGCCACTCTCGAGTTATCCGGTGTTTACTCGCCAGTGGAGATATCATTTCAGATCCAGCTCAGCCACCATCATATATTTATTTCTGCTAACGTGGGGATCCTCTCGCTCTGCCAGGGGAATTATGCTTACAACATATATAGCAGAAACATTTACTTTGACAGTAGAAGTTGACCATACACTTTAGTCAAAAGGGCCATCGATCAAATCGTTCCCAGCCGGATTTCAACCCGTCAAATAGTTAACAGCATCACCGTGAGCCGGACTTCGCTCTGGACAGGTGAACAGAAGCAGCTGCTTATTAAATGTTTCCATTTGTGTTGACTAAAACAGGGTCCTTCCGCAAATCAGGGCGATACAAACAGCAGATTAATCAGTTTCTAATTAAATGACGGCAGCGTGCACATTTAATTAAACAGACTGTTTAAACAATTCTTTATCATGGCACTCGAGATCAGCGGAGCATCCCATGGCATGACCTTGAGATGCTGCGAGACAAGGTGCCTGTGGACATCCCTCGGGCACATCCTGCCAGGAGGAGTTAAGGATTTGGCTGGTATGTTTAGTTTGAGTTTAGGTGATGGATGCTGTCAGATCAGCTTTTTCATTTTGTCATTGGGGCTTCACAGGATCATAGAAACCAGAGAGGGAAGAGACTTATTAGGTTGATCCTGCAACCCCCCCCGGTCATTATTCAGGCCCATTATGTCCAGATGTGCCCACAGATGTACATACACAGCCTCTGTCGACTGCAGCGAGAGTCACATGTATGCATGAGAGCTGGGCGATGCGGCAAATCACGCACCGGGCAGCCCAAGTGAATTCTAACCCAGGGCAGAAACTGAGCCGCGTTCTCTATTAGGAGCGAATGTTCTCTGCACAAGGGGCCGTTCTGCATTGTTTGCAGGCCCAAGACTCCCAGTGGGGTCAGTGGAAAGTTGAGGTCATACAGAATCGGGCCCGGATTACTGATTTATACGAGCTCCTCCCGTGATAACCCTCTTCTTTTCCTTTGTTTCGCAGCGGCTCTGAAGTCCAACACCAACCTGGGTTTGGTTTTTGGTCATTGTGCCAGCGGGGTTTGGCTCCCAGCCTGAGAACTTGCAGGGAACTTTTGGGCAGAGGATACTTTTATGGTCAAGCTGCAGAATGGGAACTCTGACCAAGCCTGCAGCGGGATCGGGGCCAGGTGATGTAAGCCT